TTTAACAGGTACACTGACAGTCAATTGAGTTTCCATGCAATTAATCGAGCAAGTCTAGATTTTATTTATTAAACTTAATCTAACCTTAACTTCCGTTTTTGTTTCCCCCAGAGTTCAAACACATGCGCTATAGGTCAGTTGAATAAACTAAATTGGCCTTAGTGTATGTGTTTGAAGTGAGTGTGTATGGATGTTTCCCAGTTCCCAGTACTGGGTTGCAGCTGGAAATGCATCCGCTGAGTAAAACATATCCTGGAATTAGGGTTGGGCGATGTCGACCAATTTGGCATCATACGATGTCTAATGTGAAACATCGAAGAGCGAGAAGGGATCCGGGGGTGAGAAGGGTGCGCGACTTATTTGAGGACCGGGAGGGAGACACACGATTTCCGGGAAATTATCACTCGTTTGCGGGCATTATATGAGTCCCTCGAATGCATAGAGACTCCCAGAACTTCCGGGAGACTTGGGATGTCTGAATATCACGTTTAACAACTATAGTGAGACGCGATCCAGCGGTGCTTTCTTGATAAACTGTCCGACTTGCCCTCCTCTCTGGAGCTCAGAGGAGCGCTTGACAGTGCATGTCTGTGTGTGTGTGGTCACGTGATGTGCATTTTCAGCGGATGGAGGGCTGTTCAGAAATGCTAGGTAAAACACGGTGTGTATGTGGATCATTTTCGTTCTATAATGCCTTTTTTACACTAAGACGTATTAGTGTAAAGGAGGCCTGAGTGTGTATTTTTCGTGAGCGAGTTCGCGACGGGGGCGGGGCGGAGGATCGGCGATGCTGACTCAGCATCGTGTTTCATCTATTGGCCATCGGCGATGGACGATGGCTTCGTCTATCGGCCCAACCCTAACTGTAATAGTTGGCAGTTCATTCCACTGTGGTGACCCCTGATGAATAAAGGGATTAAGCTGAAGGGGAATGAATGAATATTTACAATTTGTGAATTAAAAAAAAACCCTCCAAAAAATCTTGACTGCAAGCAAAGACACACAAATCACCCCAGCCCATGGTATCCGCTTGTTAAGTGGTGACGTGTTTGTGACGTATGTAATACTGTTTCCGGGTGCAAGCCGCCATTCATTTGAGTGGAGAAAACATTTGTTTGTGATCACGTTTTATTCCTATCACACATTAAAGTAAATTTTATATAAAGTCATAGTGTACACAACAATCTCTGGGCTTGCTGCATAACAAATACCAAAATTTTACAGTTTATAAAACAATGAATCACTTTCTGGCCATCGGATATTAGGCATGGACATATATACTGCGATCGTGATTTTCGAAAGTATTAAATCGCTTTGTAAACGTTTATGACCATTTCATGAGTCTCCCCATTCAGTTGAATTAAGCGCTTGGACCCGGAAGCCGCTTCTCGTGACGTCACACTTAACAAGCGGACTATTTGCATCAATTCTTGTGTTCAGCTTGGAAAACTCACAAACGTAATAATTAATTTTTTTTAAATCTGAAGAACAATTGGTTTTGCATAACCCTGGAGGGACTGTTATGAAAAAATGTTGACTTATTTACATTTTGAATTAACCAAAAAATCCTGATGGCAAGCAAAGATGCACGGATGACCCCAGCCAGACACTCTGAAGGGAAAACATCTGCTTGTCGAGTTGCGAAATGCAGTTGTTGGTTTTGTTGTCGTAGTGGGGTGTGTGTTGAAATGTGTAAATGATGTTTGAATGAGGAGTTCCGATAGCTGTGGGATAAATGGTGTGTCGGGGTCACGCTGGGGTCTAAAGTTGACAGATAGGAGCGCGTTTGTGTTCCTGTGTATTTGCAGAGAGCAAACAGACGAAGCGAACTGACACACAACTGAGATACAACTCTATTACAACTATTATCTATTACAAATCTATTATTAGCCCTCCTGTATATTTTTCGTCCAATTTCTGTTTAACGGATTTAACAACACATTTCTTAACATAATAGTTTTAATAACTCATTTATAATTACTGATTTGTTTTATCTTTGCCATGATGACAATAAACAATGTTTGATTAAATATTCTTCAAGATACTATTCTGCTTAAAGTGACATATAAAGAGTAATTAGGGTAATTAGGCAAGTCATTGTATAATGATGTTTTTTTTTTTTTTTTTTACAATCCAAAACAAATATTGCATATATTGTCCACTGCACACGACAAGCGACAGACCGGAAGTCATTCATTTCCATTGAAGTATAGCCTGGGAGCTGCGTGGAGTTCCGATCATCTATGTATTCAGAAAATTCAGATCCGATTTGAGCCGCAGATCCGTTGAAAAATTTGAACTTCTGCGACTAGACCGTATGCGACCATACGACTGGATGTGACGTATTCCAGTGTTGTACAAGCAGGTCCATGCGTTCGAGATGAGAAATAGGAGTTTATTTGGTTATATTTTGAATTAGAGAAAGTTCATATTAACAAAAAAACACTTATAAACAAAAGTGTAAGTAATAAAAATAGAATTTTTTAATGTTGTGTCCACATTCTCCCTAATATTTTAGCGGTTTGAGTTTCTAGTATTCATTCATTCATTCATTCATTCAACCACTGTGAAGCACAGAGAATAAAGGCTCTTGCTTTTGCACTCCTTTATTTCGGACTAGTGATGGGAAGTTCGGATCATTTTACTGACTCAGATCATTGAGTCTCGTTCATCAAGATGAATGAATCTTTTTTGTTTCGTTCATTTGGTTCAATTTGCCAAAAAATTATTAAAATGTTACGAATTGCTTCCAAACACATCTACAACTAGTCCAAAAGACTGATCACATGACAAATAAGTCATAAATAGAATATAAGAAGGAGAAAATAATCATTCAATGTTTACCTGCTCTTTTGTCTATGAAGGTATTGTTGTCTCTTTGCTCAGCTCACCTCTTCATGTCTTCAAATGTCAGGGGTTCATTCACGTTACACTGACAGTCACATATAATCTTAATCAATGCACAGTCTAAGCCGATAGGAGCCATGATCGTTCGTTCATCACGTGACAGAATGACTCAAACCCGAGGACTCGAGAGATGAGCGGATCAATTCTTTTTACGGCTCTAAACGCGTATGATTGGCCCGTGATGAACGAGTGACTTAGACCCGATAGAGGACTCGAGAGGTGAACGGTTCAATTCTTTTTCCGGCTCTAAACGCGTATGATTGGCCCATGATGAACGAGTAACTCAGACCCGGTAGAGGACTCGAGAGGTGAACGGATCAATTCTTTTTCCGGCTCTAAACGCGTATGATTGGCCCGTGATGAACGAGTGACTTAGACCCGATAGAGGACTGGAGAGATGAACGAATCTATTCTTTTTCCGGCTCTAAACGCGTATGATTGGCTTCTGCCAATGTGATGAAGACTTGAAATTAACGATACTACCTGCACAGATGTGCGCACGCGCGGATGAACGAATCACTCCCTGAGAGGACTCGTAGTTCCCGAGTCATAATAAAGATTCGTTCAAAATGAACGAATCGTTCATGAACGACCCATCACTGTTTCAGACACTGCGAGAACAGCTTCTCTCCCATGGTGCATGACAGCACTGAAAATACTGTGCGACTTCCAAAAGGGGGCGTAATCCGACAGTCGTGCCCAAATGTCGTGTGCAGTGGAAAGGCGGCTTAAGGGGGCTAAAAATATTAGCCCCTTTCACACATACAAACCTTTCCGGAAAATTACAGGCAATTTTCCGGAAAGGTTGTATGTGTGAACAGGTCCTTTTTGAAAATACCGGTAAATTGGTTCTGGCTATTTTCCGGAAAAATAAGTTGTAACGTTACCGGTATTTTGCCGGAATGCTGCGCTGTGTGAATGAAGAAGGAAGATTGCTGGAAAGAGTGCGTGCACGTCTAGAACGTGCTGACGTGAAACACCTTCTTTAGCCAATCAGAACAGACGCATTCACGTCCGCACGGTTTATGAGAATAAAAGCCTTTGAATATTTTTCCAGACACCTTTAGCTGCTAGATGTTAGTCGGATAATGTTTCTATGTTTCTTCTTAATGCCAACTGTGTAAATAATTATCGATAAAATGTTTATGATAATCCATTGTTTGTTTACCTTCAAGCTTTGCGTGTGCACGTGAGCGCCCATAGTGCCAACACGCACACATATCATGAACATCTCGACATGCGAAAGTGTTTTTCTATGTTTTCATTGGAGTTGTTCACAATACTGATCCATCTGAAGAGTTTGTAATGTAGTCAAATGTTTACAAACACAAGCGCAGCCGTTTAGAGGTCATTTCTGGTTAATGATGTCAGAATTTACCGGCATTTTGCGATGCATGTGTGAATGCTCTTTGCCGGAAAAATTCCGTAACGTCCTCCCCTGTGTGTACAGCGCTTTTTTGAATATACCGGTAAAGTCGTTCCGGAAATTTTCCGGATATTTACCGGAGTCACTATGTGAAAGGGGCTATTGATCATACAACGGTTTAAAAATTTTAAAAACTGCTTTAATTCTAGCCGAAATAAAACAAATACTTTCTGCAGAAGAAAAATATAATAAACGTCATTTGGAAAATATTTGAAAAAGAAAAAAAATAATATCATGGCTAATAATTTTGACTTTAACTTTACTTACTTTATTTATAATTAAATCAATAAACCAATTTCATCGTTTCACAATCCAGTCAAATTCAGATGACTCCATGCCCAGTGTTATTTCCAATATTTTACCTATTTTCTACATTGAACATTTTGACGTGTTCAGGATAGATAGCTATTTTTTATTTTTTTAAGATTTATTTTTGGCCTTTTTGCCCTTTATTAAGTGGATAGGACAGTATTTCAGACAGGAAGCGAAGTGGGAGAGAGAGTGGTTAGGGACGGGAAATGTCCTTAAGTCGGGATTCGAACTCGGGACTCCCTGAACAACATATGGTACTACAGCACCATATGTTGACGCACTAACCACTAGGCTATTGCGCCGAGAATAGATGGCTATTATCAATGAATTTTCTTTCTCTCTGTCTTAAACACAGTGCTGATGTCCTAGTCGACTTCATGGAGAGCTGGGCTGGATGTGGAGTTCAGATGTAGAGGATCTTTGATAATAATAATGAAGATGATGATGATAATGAAGACCACGCTGCTGCTGATCTCAGTACTGTTAACTCAAGCTCTTCAGTCGCAGGGCAGACCAGCCATCCAAGATGAGGGTAAGTCTTTTCTCTGGTCCTCTTGTTCTGTTGTGTCAGAATTGAAGATTGTTTTATTATAACAAGCCATGTCTCTTAGGCTCTGTGCAATTAAGCTCCTTACATTTTGTTTATTTGCTATATCCTGCAATTTATTTCACTCCATCATTTTCCCCACTGCTTAAGTTTATTATACTAAAACCCGGTGGGATTGTTTTCCACCCTCGGTCTGACCCTGTTTAAAACAGGGTGGATCTTTTAAAACTGCACCAGTAGGATTTCATCATATCAATTAACATTAATTGAGCTTAAAATAAGCTCAAATTTAGAAAACTACACTGTATTAACTTTAAATGCATATGAACTTTAATGACATCCCAGCCTTTATGATTTAATGGGGCTGTTGGCCGACCTATTGCAGCTATACTAGCGTCAGCTCCCCTGGGAAGGCTTTCCACAAGGTTTATTAGTGTTTTTATGGAAATGTTTGACTCATTCTTGAAGCACATGTCAATCCTTCTGATGTGGGACGAGACTCAAATTCTCAGCTTTAATTTATCCCAAATGGTTCTGTCGGGTTGAGGTTAGGACTCTGTGCAGGCCAGTCCAATTCCTTCACACCAAACTGTGTGTGTTTTTTCTCCTCCCTCTTTCTGAGCCTGAATTAAACAGGCTGGGTTTTTGAAACTGCACCAATAGGATCACATCAATTAACATGAAGGTTTATCAGTGGCTTAAGTTTAGGCAGCTACGCTGTATTGCAAAAAGAGTTTGGGAGTTTTGTGCCTTTACGTGCTCATGAACGCTTATGATATCCCAGGCTTTTATGGTGGTAATGGGGTTGCTGGCCCATCCTTTACAGCCCTATAAGCATCAACTCTTCTGGGAAGGCTTTCCACAAGGTTTAGGTGTGTGTATGGGAATGTTGGACTCATTTTTGAAGGACATTTGTCAAACCTACTGATGTTGGACGAGACTTGCATTTTGTGCTTTAATTCATCTAAAACAGGAGTCACCAATCCTGGTCCTGGAGGGCCGGTGTCCCTTCAGGGTTTAGCTCCAACTTGCCTCAACACACCTGCCTGGATGTTTCAAGTATACCTAGTAAGACCTTGATTAGCTTGTTCAGGTGTGTTTGATTAGGGTTGGAGCTAAAATTTGCAGGACACCGGCCCTGCAGGAACAAATTTGGTGACCACTGATCTAAAATGTGTTCAGTCGGGTTGAGGTTAGGACTCTGTGCAGGCCAGTCCAATTCCTTTACACCAAACTGTGTGTGTTTTTTCTCCTCCCTCTTTCTGAGCCTGAATTAAACAGGCTGGTTTTTTGAAACTGCACCAATAGGATCACATCAATTAACATGAAGGTTTATCAGTGGCTTAAGTTTAGGCAGCTACGCTGTATTGCAAAAAGATTTTGGGACATCTGCGTTTACGTGCACATGAACGTTAATGATATCCCGGTCTTTTATGGTGGTAATGGGGTGGCTGGCCTATCCTTTGCAGCTCTATTAGCATCAACTCTTCTGGGAAGGCTTTCCACAAGGTTTAGGTGTGTGTATGGGAATGTTTGACTCATTCTTGAAGGACTTTTGTCAAACCTACTGATGTTGGACTAGACTTGCATTCTGTGCTTTAATTCATCTAAAATGTGTTCAGTCGGGTTGAGGTTAGGACTCTGTGCAGGCCAGTCCGTTTCCTCCACACCAATCTCCTCATTCATGTCTTTATGGACCTTGCACTGGTGCACAGTCATGTTGGACTAGGAATTGCCAACATCAAATTCCCAAGGTCAACAGCTTAAAATCAAACTCACAGCATAATGTCTCCTCCACTAGTGTTCAGGGTTATAATAGTTTTGGATTTTTCATTAGTTTATTTTCTATTCTGTTTAGGCTTTTTGTTTTCAAATTCAGTTCGTTTTAATTAGTTTTTAGCGGTAGATTTACTAGTTTATATTAGTTTCTATAGTTTGAAATCACTTAGTTTTAGTTTAGTTTTTATTAGTTTCTAAATAAGGATATGTGTTAGGTGCTAGATTCAAAACCAACAGAATAAATATTATATAATAAGAACTCAACCATACATTTTTTTAAACATGTATTTAGAGGACACATGAACACTATCATCTACCACTACCATCTACCTTTCCTCAAATTCTAATACAACAGCCCACAAGATAACAGCCTTAAGTACAATATGTGTGCAAGGCTGCTCTGAGGTTAGATACACAGGAGTGATGGGAAGTTCAGATCTTCAACGCGGATGTTAGTACTCAACATTATGCAGTCAGCAATAGTCATTTCAGTCTGTTGAAACATCATCATGATCTGAAAAATGTCTTGCAGTAAAGTTTTGCAACCCAACTGAGCATGATTCACTTATTTAAACTCCTGTTCGATTTTCTTTTATGAAATAAACTTATAAAATGAAAGTTTATTAATAGCCCTCATGTGTTTTCTCAAATGATGTTTAACACAGCTAGGTATTCTCACAGCATTTCCTTCTGGAAAAAGGCTTATTTGTTTTATTTTGGCTAGAATGAAAGCAGTTTAACATTTTTTTAAACAATTTTAATGTCAATATTATTAGGCCCCTTAAGCATTATTTTTTTATACTATTGTCTGTCGAACCCATCTTTATACAATGACTTGCCTAATAACCCTAAGTTGCCTAATTAGCCTACTTCGTTAAGACTTTAAATGTGACTTTAAGCTGAATACTAGTAAAAATTTCAGAATAAAACTATTACGTTTAGAAATGTTTTGAAAAATATACAGATAATAAATAATATTATATAATTAATTAATAATTATATATATATATATATATATATATATATATATATATATATATATATATATATATATATATATATATATATATATATATATAATTATTTATAATTATATATATATATATATAATTATTTATAATTATATATATAATAATTATATATAAGTGTGTGTGTGTGTATGTATATATGTATATATGTATATATATATATATATATATATATATATATATATATTAATATATATATACATACACACACACATATATATATATATATATATATATATTAATATAGTATGATTAATAATTATATAATAATTGGCTAGTAATTTTGTCTTCAACTATATTCAAGTACATTAAATGCTTTTAATATTATTCTGAAGAGTGATTATAATATTGTTATCCAAAATACACCCCCATTAAAAGCCACAAGGCTTGGATATTATACAAAATGAGTGTAATAACTTGTACTTTGATCCATCTGCAGGTTTTCAAACCGTCCTCGCATCTGCAATATGGTGCATATCAGTAGTGTGCGCTAGGAGGGGAAAAAAACACACATTCAACCCTGAGCTGTGGAAGTTTACACTTGGATACCATTCGTTTTTCATTTCCATCCATATCCAAAATAGCCATTCAATACCCTAAGGACTTTCATGCACTCAAGTCATATAGAGAGGGTGAAAAAGGGAAATGGATTGGGGGGGGGAGAAAAAAAAAGCACACCAGCTGAAATCAAACCCTGAAAAATGTGTCCTTTGGCAACATTCCAGCCAAGCCAGTGCCTTTGGCTCACACAGGCCCAAACGTGCTTCCGTAGCTTCGCCGTCTTTTAGGATTTCGGAAATACAGCATTCCCCGGAGACTTCTGCATGCCTTACATTACTCTTATTATAAAAAAAAGAGCGGTCACTTCTGCTCTTTCCAACTGTGTGGAGGCTTTAAATAAACATGGTAGGTCTGAATTTACCCCAGAGCTGGAGGTGTGAAATAGCTGCCATCTGTACCCTCCGGCTATGCAAAAAATACCTCGCTTCTCTCTCTCTCTCTATCTCTTTCTCCCTCCCTGTTGTCTCACCATCTTCCTTTTGTAATGAAAAGGTATTTGTTGTCAGGGGAAGAGTTGACTACCGGAGACGCTATAAATTACTGCTTTTAAAAGAAGACACAGAAAGTACTCCGCCCTGTGGTGCTATTCCACAGCGGAGATCGTGTTTCTGGGAAAACCAAGCATGTTTTCTTGTGGTAGTAGAACGCAGAGTTGTAAAGTATAGACCTATGGGGTAGAACTTGTTATGAATACTTGCATTGCATAAAGATGTGGTCGCAGTTAAGGGGAACTATATTTTCCATCCACATTTTTGAACATCGCTTAGAAATCTGGGATGAGAACTTTTGTAAGGGATAGTTCACCCAAAATTGAATGTTTACTCAATATTTACTCAAGTGGTTGAGTTTCTTTATACTGTTGAACACCAAAGAAGATATTTTGAAGAAGGTTGAAAACCTGTAACCATTGACTTAGTAGGATGAACAAATATTATGGAAGTCAATGGTTACAGGTTATTCTTTTATGCTCAACATAAGAAAGAAACTCAAACAAGTAAAGGTGAGTAAATAATGACAGAATTGTCAGATTTGAGTGAACTATCCTTTTAAAAATAGTGCCATGAATATAAAATACCATAGAAGAACCCATTTTTGGTTCCTACATATGATCTTTCATATCAAATCTAGTCATAATCAAAGTTATGGACATTTAAATAGTAATTTTTCAGCTATAAAGAGCCTTTTGAGCCTTTCATGAACTATAACTGCCAATAAAGAATCTTTATTTTTAAGACTGTGTGCATAAAATCTTAAAATACACTCTTCAAAATAAAGGCAAATGAACTTTCCATTCCTCAAAAATTTGTTTAAATTCTTTGGATGTTTAAAGAACCTTTATTTTTTAAGAGTGTGTGTTTGTAAAATCTGAAAACACACTCATAAAAATAACAGTAGGTAAATCCTCCATTCCACGAATGTAAATAAGCAAGTTTGGTTGATTAAAGTCTTCTTATTTCTATTCTTCGTTGACTAAATCGTTGTTTCTAGGAACCAAAAATAGTTATTCTAAGGCTTCAGTGAAGCAAAAAATATTTTTGATAGTGTGTACATAGCAAATGTGTTCTCTCTTGAGTTGGATAAGTCTTATATGACCCAAAGACGTGAATAACCTTCAAT